GCAGGAAATGAGGAGAAGCCAGAGTGCAGGAATATGTCCAAATCAGCGTCCATTAGCATTTCTTGATGGGTTCACAAGAACATCCTCTACTGGGCTCCTCCCCATTTTCTCACCAAGGTGGGACTCAGCAGCGATAGACTCAGGATCTGTGGCTTCTGGAAATCCAATCCTGTATGCTGGAAGAGCATCCAAGGCTCTAAAGACTGAGCCATCATCTCTCAAACCAGCAAACATATGTTTTAAATGCATATTATTTTGTGTATATGGGTGTTTTGCCTGCATCGGGTCCCCTGAGACTGGAATTACAGTTGTGAGTCACTATGTGGGTACTCTCGAAGAGCAGCCAATGCTCCAAACCAGTAAGCTAGCTCTCCAGCCCCACACATAGTTTTTGTTTGTTTATTTGACGCAGGGTCCAACTATGTAGCCCTGGATGGCCTCAGAACTCAGAGGTCTATCTACCTGTTTCCAGAGTCTAAGGCCAGTACCAGCATGCCTGACTCTCTGCTTGGTTTCACATAGGATCTCTCACTCGACCGGAGTTCAACACTTTGCCTAAATGGTGGGCTACTGAGCCCCTGGGATCTTCCTGTCACCCCTGTCACCTCCCACCACTAGGATTATAGATGTACTACTCTGCCCAAATTTTCCATGCGGGGATCTGAACTCAGGTCCTCGTGCCTGCCCATCAGACACTTTACCCACTGACACATCTCCACACACATTTAAATTTCGCTTTATTTTTCAACGTGTATTTTGCATGGGACACTTGGCTTGTGTGTCTGTGTGTGCACAACTTTCATGCCTGGTGCCAGTAAAGGCCGCTGAATCCCCTGGAACTGGAGTTACAGACAGTTGGGAGACTCCTTGGTACACGGAAACTTGAGCCCTCTGGAAGAGTGGCCGGTGCTCTTAACTACTGAGCCATTTCTCCAGTCCAACAACATGGGTGATTTTGTTAGTTTGGTTTTGGTTGTTGTTTTGTCCCTTTGGTTTTTCAAGGCAAGGTTTCTCTGTGTAACAGCTCCGGCTATCCTGGAACTAGCTCTGTAGACCAGGCTGGCCTCGAACTCACAGAGATCTGACTGCCTCCGAAGTGCTAGGATTAAAGGCATGCGCCACCACCACCTGGCTAACACAGTTTTTTTGAAACAGGGTCTCATGAAGTCCAGGCTTGCCTCAGCCTTGCTATATAACTGACTCTATCTCCAAAATGCTAGGATTGCAACTTGAGACAGCATGGCTAGTTACCCTGATACTTTTTCTTTTGAGATAGGGTCTCACTGTGTAACCCTGGCTGGCTAGTTGAATGTGGACCAGATGGCCTGGAACTTGTGACAATCCTCTTGCCTCTCTGCCTCCTGTGCTGGAATCATAAGCAGGAGACACCATGTGCAGCCAGCCGCTCCTGCTATCTTGAGGAGCACTTGTAGGACTTCTGACTGAGGAATCATATGAGTGTTCTCCCAGGTTTGGGACCAAGGCTTTGTCTGAGCTCCAGGCGCTACTGGATGCGTGCACGCCCTCTGCCGGCGGCAGGGGAGGCAAGGTACGTCGTTCTGGAGCTTCGTTTCACCGCGTCGCGCTTACTCGGCAAAACAGCAAAAGCCCATTTGCTGGGGCTGTAGCCTCCTGTGGGTCTGGGTAGGCAAAGAGCAGAGTTTTAGGAGATGAGGCCCGAGGTTGTTAGTTAGGTTCCTAGGTGGGGCAAGTGGGTATACCTCAGGACAAAAAGCTGCAGTGGATCTCAACCTTCCTTCCTACTGCTGAGACCCTTTAATACAGTTCCTCATGTTGTGCTGACCCCATAGCTGTAGCTTGCTACTGTTGTGAATGCTCGTGTATCTTTTTGAGACAGAGGTTTGCCAAAAGGGTCTCCACCCACAGGTTCAGGGCCACTGCTTTAGAGTTTCTGTGGTAGAGGATTGTCAGAGCATGTGTTGGGCCTGGCACTCAAACCTGTGATTCTAACACAGGAAGCTGAGGCAGGAGACTGTCATGAGTTCCAGGCCAAAAAACCACAGCCTTAGTTTCTCAATATTAGCAACTATGTAAATTATAGATAGATAAGTAAATGGATGATCACAAAAATATGAGCCAAGATGTATAGGAGGCCCTTGGATTGTCTTTAAATTTAGAAAAATATTTGAGCTAATGTCTCATTCTGTATGTCTGGCTGGTTGTTATATAGACAAGGCTGGCCTGGAATGCACAGAGATAACCTTCCTCTGTCTCTGGAGTGCTAAAATTAAGGTCATCATTTCCAGCTTAATTTTATGTATGTATGTATGTATTTATTTATTTTGGTTTTTCAAGACAGGATTTCTCTGTGGCTTTGGAGGCTGTCCTGGAACTAGCTCTTGTAGACCAGGCTGGTCTCGAACTCACATTTTTTTCGAGACAGGGTTTCTCAATGACTTTGGAGACTGTCCTGGAACTAACTCTTGTAGACCAGGGTGGTCTCGAACTCAGAGATCCGCCTGCCTCTGCCTCCTGAGTGCTGGAATTGAAGACGTGCGCCATCGTTGCCCAGCTGTATTTATTTATACAGCGACTGATTTGTCTTAAAACATTCTTTGAAAGAGAAGACACCACACTTGAATTTAAGCAAAAAACACTTTCTAGTGTCAGACTTCTTTCTGTGCGGTAAGTCAGAAATTCATAGGGAAGGGACCCCACCAGCTCCCACTCCTTCCTATCAGCTTGTTTTAGTTAATTACTTAAAATATTTTTGGTGTTGTTTTTGTTTGTTTGAAACAAGGTCTCATTGTATATCCCTGCAGAGCCTGGAACTCACTTATGTAGACAAAGTGACCTTGAACTCCCAAAGTTCTAACATCCCTCTTTTTAACCATGAAAGTGCTGCAAGCTCGTCCATCTGTATCATGGTTATAAAAGCAGGAAGGTACTGGCACAGGAATGCACCAAAGGCACAGAGGGAGTTTAGGGTAGGACCCCTACAAGTACAGGTGAGGACATTAAAAAAAAACTAGTTTCCTATATAATACCCTGTGCCAAGGCTTACTCTGGATAAATTAAAATCTTTTTTGTTGTTGTTGTTTTTCGAGGCAGGGTTTCTCTGTGACTTTGGAGGCTGTCCTGGAATTAGCTAGCCTCAACTCACAGAGATCTGCCTGCCTCTGCCTCCTGAGTGCTGGGATTAAAGGCATGCGCCACCACCACCCGGCCTGATAAATTAAAGTCTTAAAGATGAATGGACAGAAGGAGATAGGGCATGAAGGCACACACCTGTAATCCTAGCACTCAGAGGGCAGAGATTGGAAGACTGTTAGGAATTCAAGCCCAGCCTGGATTATATAGTGAGTATCAGATCATCGAAGACTAGACAGTGATTCTATCACAAAAAACAAAAATTTCACATTGGTTTATTTTGTGTGTATGTGTTTAAGGGGGGAATATATGGATATGTATGCTATAGTGTGCTTGTGGAGGTCAGAAGACAACTTTCTAGAGTAGGTTCTCTCCTTCCACCAACAAACTCAGATAGTCAGGTGTTGCTTATGACTAGGAGCTTCTAGCAAAATACTTCTTGTACCCTCCTCCCTCCCAGTAAGGCCTGCATGCAAGTTCCTGTTTTCTGTCCATCCTTATTGTCTAAATGATAATTCCTGTTTCTGGCCTACCCTTTGCCGGAGGGCCCTGGGAACGTTAGCTTCTGACCTTGGTTGGTTTCCACCGTGCCTGCCACTGGTATAGAAGGCTCCACCCTTGTTAAAATAAACGCCATTCTCCTTGTCTTTGTCGTCATTTACATCCTTGGCCCTTGCTTGGATCTTTGTGAACTGTTGTAGCGCCGTAACCATGAACACCAGCCCGCTACAGTCAGGCTTTGTGGTCTGTGCCCACACATGCTGAACCGTCTCACTTGCCCTACACAAATCATTTTAAAAAGGGCTGGTGAGCAGAGCGTTGGTGGTGCACGCATTTGATCCCAGCACCCGGGAGGCAGAGGCAGGTGGATCTCTGTGAATTCCAGACGAGACTAGTCTACAAAGCAAGTTTCAGGAGAGGCTCCAAAGCCACAGGAAAACCCTGTCTTGAAAAACCAAAAAAAAAAAAAAAAGGTGTGTGTACATGTGTACATGTGTGGGTGTTTGTTGGAGAAAGAAGGGGATATCAGACAGTTGTGAGCTACATGCCAGGAAATCAATGAACTCATTCATCTTAAACTTTGATCATTTCTCTAGCCTCTGTTTCCTTGATTTTGACAAAGGGTCTTGAGGCTGTGTGTGGTGGCACACACCTTTAGTCCAAGCACTCCAGAGGCAGAGGCAGGCAGATGCCTTTGAGCTCCAGGCCAGCTTGATCTACAGAACAAGTTTCAGGACAGTCAGGATTGTTACATAGAGAAACACTGCCTCAAGAAAGGGAAACAAAAAGCAAAACAACAATATAGAAATCGAGGGCCACGTGAAAGCAGGGAGCTGATTCCAACAAGGTGTTCTCTGACCTTCATTCTCTGTAACAAGTCTGCCCCCCACATACACAAAATGTCAACAAGTTGTTCTCTGACCTTCATTCTCTGTAACAAGTGTGCCCCCCACATACACAAAATGTCAATTCTATTATCTTTTGTATCTTTTGCTTGTATCCATATCTGCACATCACATTCATCTAGTAAGTGCTATTGGAGGCCAGAAGAGGGTGTCAGATCCCTAGGGACTGAATTTAAAAACAGCTGTGAGAGCCATGTTGGTGCTGAGGATCAAACCCAGGTCCTCTGGAAGAGCAGCCAGTGTTCTTATCCAATGAATCATCCCTTCAGCCCTGTCTAATATTTTCAAAAAACAAAAAAAAGCCAGAAGTGTGGTGATGCATGCTTTAATCCCAGCACTCAGAAGGCATGGGGCCTATATAGTGAGTTCCAGGACAGCCAGAACGACATAAACATAACATATCCCCCAAAATAAATACTACATAAACACATCTCCCAAAATAAATACATAAATGAATGAGTAAATAAATAAATGACACACACAGAGGAGGGGAGACTGTTTAATAGGCTGATATATACACATACATATATCATTTTTAAAAATCATAGTGATATTCAATCTTATGCATTTAAGGAATTCCTGTAAAACCATTTTCAACAAAGGATAGCAATCCTAAGATAAAATGGTCGGAGGATAAGATCAGGCAGTGTCCCAGTTTCCTTTCTACACCTGGCAATGAGAACTGCTAAAGGAACAGGGTTTGTCTGGGTTATACTTACAGGTTATACTCCATCATAGCAGTGAAGTCAAGGCAGCTGGGATCGGAGGCAGTCATGCCAGCAGTCAAAAGCAGAAAGAGAATGAACACTCACTATTAATGATAGAATGTATTAATACAGGTGTTCAGCTTCGGGTTTCTCTTTCTCTTTTTTAAGATTTATTTATTGTCAGGTGGTAGTCCCAGCACTCGGGAGGCAGAGGTGTGCTGATCTCTGTGAGTTCCCATGGTCTACAGAGCGAGTGCCAGAACAGGCTCCAAAGCTACACAGGGAAACACTGTCTTGAAAACCAAAAAAAAAGGAAGGAAGGAAAGGAGGGAGGGGGAGGGAGGGGGGAGGGAGGGAGAGAGGGAGGGAGGAACACTGTATCAATGTTGACAACCATTACCATGCACTAGCCTGTGCCAGAGTCCTCCTTGATTTTCAGCTGGCAAGCAGCTTCAACCCCATTCTAGAAGGTTCCTTTATTTCTCTATTCTTGTTTATGTGTATGTGTAGGTGCATGCCTAGTGAGCACAGATGCCCTCAGAGGCCACAGAAGGGTATCAGACACCCAGGAACCGAGTTACAGGTGGCTGTGAGCTGCATGTGTGTGCTGGGAACCCAACTCAAGTCCTCTGGAAAAGCACCGAGTGCTCAACCTCCGAAGTATCTCTCCAGTCCCCAAAAGGACTCCTTTTCTTACCCTAGTCCCAGTACTTTTTCCTCCTGCCTCAGTGGCATGAGGATCAGGAGTTCAAGGTGTCAAAAACTGAGCCTGCCCATATTCTGAGATCAGTGTCTTACTCGGCTTTCATCGGAGAGATTCTTACTGGACAGGGCAGAGGCTAATGTAGAAACCCATTAACTGGCTAAGAATAAAGGATGGGCTTGGCCCTCAGTGGGACACAGTTATATCACCCCTTCCAAAGCTCAGGGAACATCGAGGAAGAAGAGGCAGAAAGAACAGGAGAGCCAGAGGATGGGGAGATGTGTATCAAAAAGATGTCTCCTGAACACGAATGGCATTGCCACTGCACTCATAACTGAAGCTGTGGTTATGAAGTTGCGCGCAGGACAGGCACAAGACCAAGCTCTTCAGCATTTCCTCATGGATGGGGAAACGACCCATGAGGTCCCATTCCTTCTTTTAGGTAATGTATGGTTTGGATGGAAGAAGGTGTAGTTTTCTTTAGTGGGTTAGACACTGGTAAGCTGTTCTTGCTTTAGCAAATACTATTCTACCCATGCTCAGTCAAGAAACTCTAGAAGACATGGGCCACACAGTGATGGCGCACACCTTTAAACTCAGCACTCTGGAGGCAGAGGCAGGCGGGTCTCTGTGAGTTCGAGACCAGCCTGGTCTACAGTGCGAGTTCCAAGACAGCCTCAAAAGCCACAGAGAAAGCCTGCCTTGAAAAAACAAAACAAAACAAAATAAAAACTCTCGGAGTTGGAGAGATGGCTCAGCGGTTAAAAACACTGATGGCTCTTCCAGAGGACCTGGGTTCAATTCATAGCACCCATATGATGGCTCACAGCTGTCTGTAACCTCAGTTCCAGGGGGCTTGACACCTCACAGACATAGATGCAGGCAAAACACCAAAGTACAAAAAAATAAAGAAAACATAACATTTAAAAACAAAAACAGAACCTCAACTATATAGCCCTGGTTGTGATGAATGCAATTTAGTTCTCCATTCTTCAATTTCCTTTTGTTGATTTTTTTAAGCCAGGGTGGTACAAATTCTCTGCAATTCTGTCTCAGCCACTAGGTCTCACTCGTTTATTATTTCTCACAACTGAACATGTATACACACTTACCTCAAGATTCTAATGTTTCCAGCGTGTAATTTGGGGCCTTTTGTGTTCCCACGGTGAGCATCCTTTTTTTTTTTTAAAGACAGGATCTCATGTAGCCCAGGATAACATTTAACTTTTGCTTCTTCCTAGCCAAATATTATGACTACAGGAGTGCGCAAACATGCCTGGAGCACTCAGATGTTTTACCAAAAAAAAAGACTTATCGTTTTGTAAATTAAACAGAGCCAGGGATAGAACTGAAGAAAACAAAGCAAAATCCCATTGCATATTCCCCCGCCCAAGGCGATGTCAACTTTCAAGATCTTCCAGAGCCAAAGGTAAACATCCGGAAAGCCACTCTAGCCCAAGTCAAAGGACTAACTCGTTAGTCTGGGAGGTTCACCCCTCTATCTCTCGGTGGGCTAACGAGTTCAATGCTTGGCCCGCTTCCGTTTAGGGAGGGGTAGGCCCTCTCTCTCTCCGGGTTCCCTCACATAGTCCTGCCTTTGCGCAGTTCCCCGGTCGGCCCTCATTCTCCTCCCCATACTCCCCTCGGAGGACTCTAGTAATGCTCGGGATGCTCCACAGGTCCGCGAACTGGGCGAGAAGAGTTGTGGCCGGATTTTCTGGCCAGGTTGAGTCACTTCCGGTCACAGACTCCCTCTTCCGGAAGTAGAACCTGATGTAAACAGCAGAGCCGGGCACCAAAGCCCGGGAGGTCAGAAATTCGTGCTGCAGGCGGCACCAAGATCTAGAGCAGGGGTCCGGGAGGGGTGAAGATCAAGGCAGCGAAAGCGACGTGCAGCTGGAGCACGACCCAAGGGTTGGTCAGGGTCATGGGATGGGTGTTTCTGCTAGAGGTCTTGACATGCGGAGGATGACTGGGAACAGGCGGCTTGAGTCGGTGCTGTCATGAAAAGGGACATGACTTTTGGGAGAGGGTGAGGCATTCCAATTACAGTTCTTAGTGTGGGCATTTGGAACAGAGCTCTAAAAGAGGATCTTGGAAGCTAGTGCTATTCGGAGTATGGCAAGACCCAGGTGTTACACCAAAAAAGTAGGCTTGAAGTCTTAGAGGGTGGGTAGGTGTGTCTGGACAGAGGTCTTGGAGCGATGGGGATTGACAAGAGACTGAGGCTTCTAGGACAGGGACACAGAAGCGGTTGAGGTTTTCCTAGATAGGTTTCTTTTTTGGGGGGGGGAGGAGTCGTCTGTACTGGGAGAAGTATCTGAGCCCTAGGGCAGGGTCTTCAGGAGATAATGTGGGAACAAAAGGGGCAAATTTTAGGGGGAAGGTGGTTCATGAGAGTCACTGGGTAGAGTTTGAGGGATGGAGCGTGTGTAGTGTGAAGAATTTTGAATGTCCAGGGAATGCCGGGCGGGGCCTTCAGGAGATAGGTGGAGGGAGGTCCCAGGCTTGTCCTAGTGATCAGGCTTGCTGATACGAGAGAAGGGTTTGGGGAAAGTGTTGCATGGGGAGGGTGTAAGTGAGAGGGCCTGGGGGCAAATAGCTGAGAGTTAGAAAGGCTTGAGCAAGGGAGGGAGGGTGGGCCATTCACAGCTGTCTCGGAGATGCTAGCTACCTTAGTCCTTGTTCTCTCCTTTACTGACAGGTGGAGCTGGGTGCAGGTGTGAAGATGAGGAGCTTGTGGAAAGAGTTTTTTAAATATGTATTAATGATTTATTTATTTTCATTTCATGTGCACTGGAGTTTTGCCTGCATGAGGGTGTTGAATCCCCTGCAACTGTAGTTACAGACATTATGAGCTGCCATGTGGGTGCCGGGAATTGAGCCAAGATCCTCTGGAAGATCAGCCAGTGCTCTTAACCACTGAGCCATCTCTCCAGCCCCATGGAAAGAAATTTGAGGTCATGTCAGGCATTAGAGCCAAGAATGGCTGGGAGTGAGGAGGTATCATGGGACATCCTCTACCCCATTACTTCCTGATAGGCTCAGTAAGGGTTGGTGTTGATGGCAGTGTGAGTCTGTGCCAAGATACATTGTGCCTGTGGTCTTGGTTTGAACAGATACTCTGAGGTATACTCCACTTGTTTTTGTTTTTTGCAGTCTGGCAAAGAAAAGTATCAAAATGGGGAGGAAGCCGGGAGTGATGGCACACACCTCTAATCCCATCACTCAGGAGGTGGAGGACTGCTGGGAATTCAAGGCCAGCCTGTGCTACATAGGGAGTACCAGAACAGCCAGGGATACGTAGCAAGACCCTATCTCAAAACAAAATAGACAAAGTGGTGAGGAAGAAGAAATCGTTTGGGGGACAGAAGTTGTAGGACTTAAGAGAGGACACTCCAGAACTATTCTCAGTGCTGTCATTTTGTGCCTAGGGCCAGTCCTGAACCATGACTCAGCAGCCACTTCGGGGTGTGACCAGCCTACATTTTAACCAAGACCAAAGTAAGCTTGTGATTGTATCTTTGTGGGAAAGATAGGAAACAGGGTCAGAGATAGCTATGAGCCCTAGAAGTTTGACTCAGACGGAATCCCTTTATCCCCAGGCTGCTTTTGCTGTGCCATGGAGACAGGCGTACGAATCTATAACGTGGAGCCCCTGATGGAGAAGGGGCACCTGGGTGAGTGGCTGTAGTGGCAGACAGTGGGCAGAAGGGCTGATGTGGGCATTGGCATTTACCTCTACTGACACTCTGGTCCCTGTGCAGACCACGAGCAGGTGGGCAGCGTGGGCCTGGTCGAGATGCTGCACCGATCCAACCTGCTGGCCCTGGTGGGCGGTGGTAGCAGCCCCAAGTTCTCGGAGATCTCAGGTAAGTGCTTTCATCCGGTATGCGACCCAGATTCCCCACATTCCCTACTTCCCACATCCACCCTGAGGCACTGGCACATGAACTTGTCAGCACCTCGGAGTCCCGCAGTGAGGCAGTTTGTAAGTCATGGATCTTCCAGCTTGAAATGTTTGATCTGGCATTTAGTGAGACAGGGTCTCACTGTGTATTCTTTGTTGATGAGAGTGATCTCTAACTCACAGAATGCTGGGATTAAAGATGCCTTACCTTTTTATTTAGGAAACGTTACTGGAGCTGGACATGTAGCTCAGTGGTAAACACTTGCCTGGTATGCTCAAGGCCCTCAGTTCCATCCCCAGCACTATAAAAACAGCAAAACCACTTCTTGTCTGTCTTCTTACCCTAATGGAGCACTTACTGGGAGCCTAATAGTTATTTTAAGCACTTCACACACAAACACATCAATTTGAGACAAGGTCTTCTATAGCCAAGTATGATTGCTCTTCCGCCCCCCACGTGCCAGGGTTACAGGCTAGTGCCTTCACACCTGGCTTCACATATTTTAGCTCATTTAGCTTTGTAGGGGTTTCGTTCTTTTTTTTTTTTTGGTTTTTACGAGACAGGGTTTCTCTGTATTGTTTTGGAGGCTGTCCTGGAACTTGCTCTGTAGACCAGGCTGGCCTCGAACTCACTGAGATCCGCCTGCCTCTGCCTCCCGAGTGCTGGGATTAATCCTGTGTGGTAGGAAATACCATTAGCCCTTGTCCCATTTTTGTTGTGCTGTGGATGGAACCCAGGGCTTTGCACATATTCCATCACTAGCCTCCTTATCTCCATTTTTACTAACGAAAAACTGAGGCCCACGCAAGTGACTTATCCAAGATCACATAATGAATAGGTTTTCAAATCTTGGAGCTGTCTCTCCTACAACCTCTTGGCTTGAGCCCTCAAGTGTCACTTTGTGTTAAGGTGTTTTTCCTTGTTGATTCCACCACAAACGTGGCAAGAGTTATAGGTGAGCTGCAGGACCCTAGAATTCATTACAAAATCCCCCAAGAATGTGAACTGGATCCTGAAAACTCAAGTAGTTACGGAGGAAAGTTGTGGATCTGGGTATAAATACCTTAGCTGTTCTTGTGCCAAACGATCCTTGACCGCACTCAGCTCATTTGAGCCTTGATTTCCTTATGTCCAGACACGCATACCTGTTCTAGAAAGCGTTTTTAATAGAGATCTTGTCCCCAAGTGTGCATGTTGTGCGAGGCTCACACTGAATATTTAGTGAAAGGTGTAGCAAGTGGTTGGGGGCCCATGAGGGGTACAGATAAGCCCTGTGCCACCCGGTCTGCCTCTTACCCTAAACCTTGGTCTTGCCAACCCACCCATCTGCCTGTCAGTGCTGATCTGGGACGATGCCCGAGAAGGCAAGGACTCCAAGGACAAACTGGTGCTGGAGTTCACCTTTACCAAGCCAGTGCTGGCTGTGCGCATGCGCCATGACAAGTGAGCTTGGTGAAGACTGGGGTGGGGGGCAGGAGGTTCCCACAGCAAGTAAGCCCACCCCTCCCCCACTTGGGCACTTCCCTTTTCCTCACGGCCTTCTGTGTGGTGTCTGCAGGATTGTGATTGTGCTGAGGAACCGCATCTATGTGTACTCCTTCCCTGACAATCCTCGAAAGCTGTTTGAGTTTGACACTCGTGACAACCCCAAGGGTGAGATCTCCAGACCTTCAGATATCCAGGCGTAAGGATATGAGAGTGTGGAAGAGGCAGAAAGGGGGAGATGAAAGATGGGACACATGCGCAGAAATGTTAGGGGCGAGGTTCTACACGAGATAAGCCCTTTCAGTCGCTACCTTACCCTACCCCGGCCCCCGCCCCACATGACAAGAGAAAGTACTCATTGAGGACAGGGGTAAGTGTGTCAGCGAGCCATGCGCCCAAGACTTTCTTGGCAACTTCTTAGAATCTGTTTAGAGCATGGAGGGTGGAGCTCAGTGTAAAGCCTAGGCCTGTGAGGTTGCTATGGGTGATCACCACAGAGGGTTACAGCCTGGGCCTCACTTGTCCAGCTCTATCCATCCTGAGTCTCAGCCTTCCCCTGACCTCCTGTTCACCTGCCCATCTCCACTTCATCCCCGCAACTCAGGGCTATGTGACCTCTGCCCAAGCCTGGAGAAGCAGCTGCTTGTGTTTCCTGGCCACAAGTGTGGAAGCCTGCAGCTTGTGGTGAGCGATCCAGTGGGCGAGGGTTGAGAGGTGGCTGGCCCGCCTCTCTCAGGACCTTGTGACCCCTCTCCTCCATATGGCCCCAAGCCGGAACTGTCCCCCTGCTCTAGGATCTGGCGAGCACGAAGCCTGGCACTTCGTCAGCCCCGTTCACTATTAATGCACACCAGAGTGATGTGGCCTGTGTGTCCCTGAACCAGCCAGGCACCGTGGTGGCCTCAGCCTCCCAGAAGGGTACCCTCATTCGTCTTTTTGACACCCAGTCCAAGGAAAAACTGGTGGAGCTTCGAAGAGGCACTGACCCTGCCACCCTCTACTGGTGAGCACAGGATGTGTAGGGTGGGTGGTGGCCTTCAGCACAAGTCATCATGCTGGACATCATTACTGGTCTGTTCTGCAGCATTAACTTCAGCCACGACTCCTCCTTCCTCTGTGCTTCCAGTGACAAGGGCACTGTCCATATCTTTGCTCTTAAAGACACCCGCCTCAACCGCCGCTCTGCGTGAGTATCCTCACCCAATCCCATGTTGTCCCAATCCCCTGGCCATGTGCCTGGACTTACCAAATGCTGCTCATAGGCTGGCTCGTGTGGGTAAGGTCGGGCCTATGATTGGGCAGTACGTGGACTCTCAGTGGAGCCTGGCCAGCTTTACTGTGCCTGCCGAGTCAGCGTGCATCTGCGCCTTTGGTCGAAATACTTCCAAGAATGTCAACTCTGTAATTGGTGAGTGGCAATAGTCTCCTTGGTTTGTGGCACTGCATGGGTCAAGGACTGAAGGTTGGACCTAAAAGAATTGCCCGGTTTAGGCCGGGCGTTAGTGGCGCACGCCTTTAATCCCAGCACTCGGGAGGCAGAGGCAGGCGGATCTCTGTGAGTTCAAGGCCAGCCTGGTCTACAAGAGTTCCAGGACAGACTCAAAAACCAAAACAAACAAACAAAGAATTCCCCGGTTTTCATAAGCTGGAGGGAACTGGAATGTGTGGCTCAACTTCATAATTAGTAAGGGGTGTGGCACTTGGGCAAAAGCCTGGCATTAGACCATGAGCCATGGTGGGTCACCAGAGAGGATTAGAGTAAGTGGCTGGGGCATCTCCTAACCTTTCATAACACCTCAACCCTCCCCAGCCATCTGCGTAGATGGGACCTTCCACAAATATGTCTTCACTCCTGATGGAAACTGCAACAGAGAGGCCTTTGACGTGTACCTTGACATCTGTGACGACGATGACTTTTAAGAGCCCTGGCAGCTGTACTAGGAACCTGCAGTAGCAGATGGCCAAACTGAGTCTTGAGGGTGTTGAACCAGCCAGCAAGCATTAATGAGGCCTCCCACTCTCCATTCAAGCACAGCTGTGTCCAAATAAACAGCTCACTTCCCCCAAGCACTTTTTGGTGACTGTGCAGAAGGCCATGGACAGATTCTGGGCCACCTAGTCTGGGAAACACTCAGAGGGACCCAAAGGGATTTTCGTAATCCAACCTGGGGATTTTTAAAAAGGTTACCAAGAGATAGCCTCTGTGATGTATCCGAATAAAAGGCCTTTAAATGGCATTTATGACTTGACCTCAAGGGTGGGGCATACTTTTCCAGGAGCAGTGTGACGGGAAGTGGAATCCAGCTCTGGACTTAACTTCCTATTCTTACTAGTCTGTACAGCTTTGAGTCAACATACAGCTTGCACAGCCCGGCGTAGAGCCCCGCCCAGGGGTGAAGAGAAGTTGGAGTTTTGAGCTGCTCGCCGCGTGGCGAAGCTTGGTTTCCTGGTAGTCTCTGCTAACACAGTTGGTGGTTTCTGGTCACGTTGTTATTTGCAGCTGCGCAGTACGCCCAAGTTGCTAGTTGTTCCGCCTAGACCCTGTTTCCCAATGTGCCTCGCGGTGCCGCGAGGGGTCACGGGCGTTGTAGTCTCGCCGCCCTTCGGGCTGGTCCAGCAACCCGCAGGATGTCGGAGGTGCGGCTGCCACCGCTACGTGCCCTAGATGACTTTGTCTTGGGGTCTGCGCGTCTGGCGGCTCCGGATCTGGGCGATCCACAGCGATGGTGTCACCGCGTCATCAACAATCTCCTCTACTACCAAACCAATTACCTTCTCTGCTTCGGCATCAGTCTCGCTCTGGCCGGGTGAGGGAGGGAGGTAGTGATTGGCTGAAGATACTAGCGGGAAGTAGGGTGGACTTGCGGGTCTTTGAGGATGAGGAGAGGGGAGCCTCAGGGGAAGTGCTAGGCTGGGAAGGGCGAATTCGGTAGAAAAGGAAGGTCTGAGGGGCATGAATGAGATGATTTGAAGGAGGCAGATTTTTTGTTATAAGGAGAGTTGGGGGAGGTGAGAGAAGACCTGGGTAAGAAAGGGGGGAGGGAGACCCAGATTTAAGGAAGGGGATGTGAGACTACCTAAGAGGTTCAATGATGTGAGTCATGGTAGATTAAGGGAGCCCTGGAGGGTTTAAGACAGAGGTGGGGGTGTAGTACAGACAGGGTTTAGAAGGTGAGCCTGTGGAGAACCTGCTCATATTGGGGCCCAGAGGGAAGACCCAGGGTGGAGAAGCTAAAGACAGTCTAGAAGAGGAACTTGGGCAGGGTTGTGAGACCGGCACTGAAAGCGAGGACAGTTCGTTCAAGCAACTGCGGGAGGTTAGTTAGCTCTATATGAAGATGAGGTAGTGGAGGGCCTTTTAAGGGAAATCATATCTGGAAGGTGCCGAGTCTGCAAAGAGAAATGTGTTGGCTGAAGGCCTTGGTGAGGGATGTGCAAGGGTTCAGGTCAAATAGAGGAAGGTAGGAGCAGATCTGGGAAAGCTAGAAAGAAACCCTGCGGGTCTAAAGTGAAAAACCAGAGAAGTGTTGGGAGCCCAGGACCTCCGGCAGGATGTAAGGACCTGATAGGACTGTAGTACCCAGGAGTTGAGAGTTCACAGGAATTCCTGGAGGGTGGACTTGTTGGAGACAGGCCTGGTGAGACTGTGCTAAGATGCTGATTCTGGATACAAGGAACAAAACTCTTAGGGTCCAGGACTGGGTGGATGGTGAGGCTAGCCGAGTGCCCTTGTTCCCGCAGGTACGTTCGTCCACTGCACACCCTCCTGAGTGCACTGGTAGTGGTGGTGGCCCTCGGTGTGCTGGTGTGGGCGGCTGAGACTCGTGCAGCCGTGCGCCGCTGCCGTCGCAGCCACCCTGCTGCCTGCCTGGCTGTGGTGCTTGCCATTAGCCTCCTCATTCTCTGGGCCGTGGGCGGCGCTTTCACCTTCCTGCTCTGCATCACAGCGCCGGTGCTCTGTGAGTCTCTCCTCTCTCTGTTATGGCTGGGGAAATGGGCAGCTCGCGCTTGAACACCAGGCGTGCCCTGCAGGTGCCTGGGCTAAGAGGACTGGAAACCCTGGAGGACACACATGCCTCCGTTAAGTGTCTTCCTTGGCTTTGTCCCCTCTCTTCTTGTCCCTCTCTTTATTACCTTTTTGTGTCTTCCAGTTGTTAAGTGCCTTGAACTGTCCCAGTCCCGATTTATGGGATGTCCTACCTGGCCACATCCCCCATAGCATGCTAGCCTGCCTCTGGGCAAATTCCCTATCGTGGGCTGCAAACTAAGTCCCCTGATCCACTCTTGGTATCGCCTACAGTGATCCTGCTGCATGCTTCACTGCGCCTGAGAAACCTTAAAAACAAGATTGAGAACAAGATCGAGAGCATTGGTCTAAAGCGGACACCAATGGGACTGCTCCTAGAGGCACTGGGACAGGAGCAGGAAGCTGGATCCTAGGACCCTGGCATCTGTACCCTGAATCTAGACCACCCCCGCCCCGTCCCCATACCCAAGATGCAGCCTTTTTCCAGCCATTAAAATAGGAACCTGGTGCCCTCTGGCCTCTCCAAAAAAATAAGACACCTGTCACTGCTTGCTCCAATCCCAAACTCGTCATCTCTTACCCTCCAGCCCGTTATCTAGGGATCAGTCTTCCTCAGTCCTGAGTTCGAGACTCAAGTAACCTACATCCAGCCTTGAAAACTGGGTTTTTAAGTCAGAGCATATCCATGGTCAATCTCAAAACTGGACCCAGAGATACTCCCCTAACACTAATCTGAGACTCACTGGTCTCCCCTACTTCGAAGCCAGGACCTGGGGCAGGACACTCTCAAATCTTGGGCTCTAAGGATTTTTCAAACCCCATCCAGCTTGGAACCCAGGTTAAGACATGGCCAAATCTTGAGCTTAAGTCCCAATTGTCCTCAGCCATGACCCCATTGAACCCTTGCACCTAGATGACCCTAACCCTCAGCAGACCCAATAGCCTCCCTCCAACTCTGTTTATAGATTTTCTCCTTCCCCCACAATGTTTCCAGTATCAAGGACCAAGGTGTGGGGCTGGCTAGCAATAGCCCCAACTTGGAATGGAGCACATATATTAGTGTTCCTACAACAATAAAGCCGTTGAATCTCACAGCTACTTTGCCCTCCTGTGTAAAGTTCTTGTACCTTTCAATGAACAACCCTGTGGCTGTCTTCAGTTCTGCTGGACAATACCTGACCAGGTTTATATGTGCCAAAAGGGTGACTACTGTGGTCCTCAAAGCTGCTGCCTCTGAATTAGCATTAAAGCACAGGGATGTAGAAGTGTGTGCTACCATTTTGGATATTCTCTTGTTATAAGTGGGCTTGGATGGAAGTGCAGGGAGGCAGAGAAGCTGCCCATCTCACAAAGCAAGTGCAGTCAACACATGCTAGCTGAACATAGCACCATCAGTGATCCCAGCACTGGGAAGGCTGAGGCAGGAGAACTATGAGGTAGCCCGGGCTACATACAGTCTAGCTTAAGAAAACAAAATATTTGAGACTTTTGTAAACTATTTCTAGTTTTCTGGGGTTGGAGAGATTGCTCTGCAGTTAAGAGCAGTGGCTGCTCTTCCAGAGGTCCTGAGTTCAATTCCCAGCAACCACATAGTGACTCACAATCTGTAATGAGATCTGGTGCCCTCTTCTGGCATATAGGCAGAACACCATACATAATAAATTAAAAAAAAAACTTTTTTTTTCCTGGCTGGGCATGGTTGTATATGCCCTTTACTCCAGACCAGATGGATCTCTGAGTCTGAGACCAGTCTGGTCTACATAGTGAGTTCCAGGCCAGCCAGGACTACACAGCGAATCCCTGTCCTGTCTCATTCATATATTAAAAATCTGGTCTTAACTAGATGTGTAGGTTCCTGAGGTGAAGCAGACAAAGAAACAATCCAAAGGTTCAGTTTATACATTTATTATAGAAATCCCCTTCCAGTGTGACGTCTTGGGCCCAGATCCACTGGTACAAAAAGAAAATTTAATATCAGGTAAAGGGGGTAGGGGAACCCCCAGCTTCAGAAAGTCACAGACATATAGAAAACACAGCTTATGTGGATTTGTTTAAAAAGTGGTAAATAGAAGGAATGCCAAGGAGGACATGATGTGGCCTGTGGCCCATGGCCAGATGTCACCTGAGGGTTTCGCTGGCATCTATCAGTTGCCAGTTTTAACCACTGCAGCATCCCAGGATGCAACATACTCAAATGGCTCCGCTTCTTGACAACCTCTTGTATAGCTTCCTGATTGGGGAAGGTCAACACAGAGGCCATGGGCAGACACAGAGACAATAGCTCCTTCAGATACCCCACCCAGACTTCCATCCTTCCAAAGGTGGACAGGAGCCCATCTGTTCGAGAACTCTAGTGGAAGGAGGCAAAGAGTTCTGTTCACAGCAGTCGCTTAACCCCCGAGACTCTATATGGTCCATTTCACTGAGGCGGGGTGGTGGTTCCTGAAAGGAACAGGTTGGGCAAAGGGACAGGAATGAACCCAACCAGGAATGAGCTCACAGTTTCCCTTTTATAAAACACCTAGTGTTGGGCAAAGACAGGGAATACTAAATCACAACTGTAAACAGAAATGGAGGAAGGGGCAGAGTCCACCATTATCCCCCTCTTTGAAGCTAGCTGGGGCCCTCCAGTCCCCCAGCACAGAATGAGAAGAGAAGCAGGAGTATCGGACATCCTCCTGGGCCCAAAAGAAGCCAGGCGTCCTGTGAGATCAAGCAGCTGTCCCTCAGGACCAAGAGCAACCACATCCCAGGGCTCAGCAAGGTCGACCGTGTGCTCCCCAGACTGGAGTATGTCCAGACCAACATGGGGCTTATCAGGAAGGGTCAGACCAATGTCCCTGGGGTCTGGGAATCAGAACTGGAAGACTGCTCCCCCTCTAGAGTCAGGTCACTTAAACGAGAGCTCAGCTCCGGGGGGTACAGGAAGTCCGTGTAGTATCTTTAGAAAGGACAGCAGGAATCCGGAAAACAGGGAAGATGAGAGAGGAAAAGACAGACAGGACACACACAGAGAGAGGGAAAGAGGCTTGTTAAAGAGGTGGAGACAGGCACAGGACAGCACCTTCAGGCTCTTAAACTTGGGGTATGGAGCTTGAAAGAAAAAGCCAGGGAGTACACATGCCCCTTCCTCCCAGCACCCTGACTTCGAGGCTCACTGCCAGCTGTCGCATACTAGGGAGAAAAATCCTTCTAAAGCTTGGGAAAGAACTCCTGTTACTAACATCCAAGATCCCCCTCACCAGGACCCCAAGGACTAATATAGGTTATGTCTGATACAGTGACCCCATGCCAAGACTACAGCTAAGTTTCCTTGTGGTCCCACTCATCAGCTATTTTGACAAAGTGCTCCCTGGTCAGGATATCTCCAGCATCTGAATCAATACCCCTTACCCATCAGTAAAAGCACCCCCATACCTGCCGGAGACAGGGGGTGCTGTGAAACTCCTCGAGTGCGGGAGCGGTGCCTGGCTGGGAGGACCGTATAGTGCCTGGCCCACCTCATAGCAGCGGGCATGGAGGAAGGGTGCGTGTGTTGGGCCCACATGTGGAAGCATAGGCCGGCGCTGGGGCCCCATGGCCAGTCCTGAATTCCGGATGTACCAGTCCCGGAGCCCCTCCAGGGCAAGGTTCTTATGGCCACCTCGCTCACCAGCTGGAGGTAGCCGGTTGGGTGGTGGCATCCAGAGTAATGGGTTTGGATGTACTTCCAGACCCTCCACAGCTTCTGGGGGCAGGCCACAGGGCTTGGAACGGATGGCACGGGTGTTTGGGTCTTTGCTGCGGAGAAGGGGGCTGCTGCCGTCGGCGGTATATATGGGTGGAGGACCAGGGAGCATGGCAAGGAGCCCATCTCTGCGGGAAAGGGGTCCTGGGAGTTCAGGAGCAGGAAGCAGATCCCCCCAACCTGCCCCACCAGCACCACGGGGCAAGCCCCGGTCCAACGAATAGTCCAAGAGGAAGTCTCCACACATGGGTGGGAGCCGGGGGGCCCCACGGGATGCAGGGGCAGCTGAGCTAGGCCGGGCAGCCCGAGGAGGGTCTGGGGGACCAGCGGTGCGGGAGGAGAAGGCAGGGACTGGTTGGGGGCGCTCATACAGCACCTCACTGCTCTTGCAGACTGGAGGACCAGCAGCAGGGGGAGGCAGGGGGGCAGGTGGAGATCCAGCTCCCCCCGCAGCTGCTCGGTCCACCAGCAGGGCCTCAGAGCTATTGCTGCGGCGGGTGCGAGCTGCGAAGAGAGAGGCCCGATCCGAAGCAGGGTCAGGCCGAGGAAAGCCCATCTGAGAGTCCTGACTACCGGACCACTGGCGAGAATGGAGGCCTTCAGGTCTGGAGAACAGAGGTGTGGTAACAAGAGCAGGGTCAGAAACAGAAGACAAATGGTGAGTGCCCCGACTGCCCCATCTCTTCCTGAGCCTTCGCTAATTCCTCGAATAGTCCAGGGTTAGAAGTTGTGTGCACGTAGCTGCTAAGTAGTGCTTGTAAAGGACCACTGAGATTTGGTCCCAGACAGGGAAGTCAGAGGGTAGGGTGTGGAAATGTGCACCGGGATAGGGCTGCGAACTCTTAGGGTGATGTAAATGCTTCTGGAATGGGAAGGAAGCACTAGCTCAGGAATGACACACACAGGCGCTCTTCTGTTACCTGGAGCTCCTATTCTGCGAGGCTAGCCTCACGGCTGCTTGCTGCCTCCTGAAGGAACTAGCTCCTGAACGAAGCCCTACACCTTATGACTGGACCTAAAGGCTTTCTGAACTCTAAGTCACCATGTCTGTGAACCATCCCTGAACAATCATCCCACCATGCACAGAATGGATGCCCCAAGAAGATGGGGATTCTGTTCACAGCGTGGGAAAAGTAGGCAGAAAAGTAGGCATCTTAGTATTACAGTGCTTCGAGGCTGACTCTAGATTCAAAAGCATTTGCATGGGTTCAAATGTCAGAACTTCAGTTTACTCACAAGTTACTCAATTAACCTTTCTGGGCCCCAGTTTCCACACCTATAAAATGCAAATAACAGCACCTCCTCAGAGGGCTCTTAGGATGATAAAGGAGCTGTTATCCACCGCAAATGCTACCGATTATTAGCAGACAGTAGGCAGTTGACACATGCTACCCGACATGCACTGTACCTGTGTCTTTCAAAGGCAGATATTACACTCACTTCACAAATGAGGAAGGAAAGATTCAGAGAAAGAAGACGACTTATCAAAAAAAAAACCCCAGGAAAAGCCCATATTCAGTCTTTCATGCCTCTGTCTCCAATTCCCACTCCAACTTCTATCCGCCTTTCAAAGCCCAGCTGCCCATGTCCCACATCTTTCGGTAATCTGTATTCAACATCTACAGTTAGATCTAAAGGTTTCCTCCTCTGACACTCAGACCCACCCTCAAGAGTCCCCTTACTTGCAGAGCCGGGGGCCAGTGCCCCGGGTGAGGACAGGGGTGGCAGGCACACTTCGCCCCTCAAAACTGGAGGCACTCCTGGGCAGCGAGCGCGTGGGGCTAGACAGAGATGGCAGGCCCACATCGGGACCCAGGTTAGAAACTGCACCCACCAGTAGACCCTCCTGCCAACCCAGGCACAGGATCCCACTCCTAGTCCCGGGAAAGGTCAAAGAGGTTCCTTTTTACCTGGTGGGGCTGGCCACAGAGTTGCGCCGGCTCTTCAGGTCCCCATAAAGATCGGATGGGGGAGGTTTCCATGGGGCTCGCCGCTCAGGGCTCCCCCCAGATGCTGCCCGAAACTGGTCCCAGGCCTTTGGTGGTGAGGGGCGCTCGGTTAGGGAGAAGCAGCTATGAGGATCCTCTGGATAGAAGGGAGAACAGGGTAGCATTCAATGAGAGAGGGCCTGGCAAGGGCAGGGTGGGTTTAAAGGGGAGGGGCATTGCAACCTAAGGGACAAAGTCAGGCAAAGGTAGAGGCTGCTCTGCAGGGTCTAGGGCGGAGGAGGACGTGGCAGGTGAAGCTAAGGACACATGGGGACATGGGGTATGGCTAGAGGGGAGCTAAAGAAGGAGGACTGAACAAAACATGGGCATTCTGAGAGGACACGGGGGGGGGGGGGGGAGGGCCGAGCTCAGGCCGTGGGGATATTCTCACCATTATCGTGGCTGGCCCCCGACTCTGAGAGGGAGCTGCTCTCCGAGTGCAGAACTACATCCTCTACAGGCGAGAAAGGAAAGGTAGCCCATCACTCCAAGCTCTGGGTTCCATCCCGTCATACCACTGGACAGGCAGGCGCCTCTGGGTAGTCTGCCTCCTGACTCTGATGCCTCTATCTTTGCTAGACATAGACCTATAATCCCAGCTACCCAGGCTTCATGAAGCAGGGTGTGTGTGTGTGTGTCTGTGTGTCTGTGTGTCAAGGTCAAGACCGGTCTGGACTATGGAATGAGTTCAAGATCAACCTGGGCAACTTACCAAAATCCTGTCTCAAAATAAAAAGTAAAAGCAAAACAATGAAAAAAAGGGAGTCAAGCAGCGGTGGTGCACCCCTATAATCCCAGCAGAGGCAGGTGGATCTCAGAGTTTGAGGCCAGTCTGGTCTACAAAGTGAGTTCCAGGACAGCCACTGCTACACAGAGAAACCCTGTCTCAAACAAACAAACAAGACAAGGGGATGGAGAGATGGCTCAGTGGTTAAGAGCACTTGCTACCCTTTCACAGGACCTGGGTTCAGTTCCCACACCAGGCACCTTACAACAGTCTATAACTCCAGTTCCAAGGGTTCCAAAGCCACTGGAATCCAGGAGCACCTGTATGTATGTAGTAAACATAAACTCACACAAGAACACATACATGTAAATAAAAACAAATAAATCCTTTTAAAAATAAAAAGCCAGTCGGTGGTGGCACACACCTTTGATCCTAGCACTTGAGAGGCAGAAGCAGCCAGATCTCAGTGAGTTCAAGGCCAGCTTGGTCTACAGAGTGAGTTCCAGGACAGCCAGAGCTGTTACACAGAGAAACCCTGTCTCAAAAAACCAAAATAAAATAAATAAATACTAAAAAATAAAAAAGAGGACTGAGGATGTAATGCTATCGTAGGATGCTTACCTAGAATGCTAAAGGGCCTAGGTTCAACCTGACAATGCATAAAAATATCTACCTTTACCTGAGTTCAAGACTACCATAAGCTTGAGTATTTATTTTCCTGCTGCCTACTGTTCAAGTCCTCTCTTAACCTCAAGTCAGGTTACTACAATTCTCCTTGATGGGTGAGTCCTTAAGTCTTGTTCACCTCTGTGCCTTCCACAGCTACTCAGGCACTCCACCACTCCCGTATGCATTAGCCACAGGCCATTCTCAGGCCTATTTTTCACTCACTGGAGAGATGTGGGACCTGGCTTACCTTGGCTGAGCTGAGCAAGGCGTGTGCCCAGGCAGACACCCTGGGCACTGACTAGTGCTCCTGCAGAAAGGGGCAGCTGCTGGAGCACTGGGAGGCCAAGGCGGGCCCTGAAGTCCCTGAGCTGCTCCTCCAGCTCATGCAGCCTCCGAAGTGCGTCAACCTGCACCTGGCGCCGACGCCGCCTCTGTTCTCCACTAAGGTCGGGGGCCAGGGCCAGGCGGCGGGCAGCAGCTGCAATCTGCTGCTGTACAGACACCTCACGTTCCAGGGCCTCAAGAGCCAGTTCCTGGACAACCCAAAAGGGGTGGGATAGAACTAAGTAATAGAAATGACTACCCGTAGTAGCGGGAAGTTGACAGAGCCCATCTACACTGGAAGCGGGGCCTCTTCTTCTTGGAGAGGGTCTGTTTGCCTAGGGAAGGAGCGTATTCATCCTCGAGGGACAGGATGAAGAGCTGGGCCTGTGCATCTTCTAACGATAGGAAGCTTGTCTTGACTGAGCTGGGGTCCAACTCTGCACGGGGAACCCACCTGTCCAAACTCTTTCCCTCCTCAGCTCCTCCCACTCCTGGTCATACCCTCCTTTTGCCCTGGCTTGCCCCTGCCCGTCACCAGTACTATCTTCCCATACCCAAATGCTTACCTCAGCAGGACACAGGGAGTGGTGTGCTGGGTTCGGGTGTGGTGGAGGGTAGGCACGTGCTGCGGGGGGCCTCCGGCGTACCAACTGAGGCCGTTCACCAGGCTCCAGGGGGCACTCAGGGGGCAGCTGGCCGGTCAGTTCCTGGAGGGAACAGGGTGGAGACTACAAGGGTTAGCTGGAGACATGACAAAGTAGTAAGAGTGCAAGGAACTATACGTCCCAAAGAGCCTAGCCCAGCTCAAGACTCCACAGGTATTAGGTCACCTCCTGTCAAGATCTCTACCACCAGGGTAGGAAGTGTGGACTCTAAGTCCCTCGGTGCACCCCCCCAAATTCTCTGGGCCATTGGGCAAAGGAATCTTGGAAATCTGGAGTCCAGAGTTCTTAATTTTTATAATTATAAAATCCCAGTCTATTTATGCTACATATATAACACAAGGGCTGCATCTTCTGAATCCTATTAGAGCGTGTGTGCGTTCATGCGCATGTGCGCATGCATGTGTATGTGTACGTGCGCATGTGTGCACTCAAGTGTGCATGTGTGTAGGCCAGAGGCCAATCTTGGATGTTGTTCGTCAGGATATTACCTACTTTTTTGAGACAAGGTCTCTCTCTGGCTTGGGACCTGCTGATTAGGCTAGATTGGCTGGTTAGCAAGCCCCAGGGAAGCCATCTGGTCTCTACTTTTCCAGCACTAGGATTACAAGTGCCGGCCACCATACCACGCTATTCTTTTTTTCCATAGGTTCTGGGGGTCAAACTCAGGCCCTTGTGCTTCCATGGCCAACTGAGCTAACTCCCCAGCCCCTGAACCCTGTTAATCATTCAGGAAAAGTCTGTGGACACTCACATTAAGAAGGGTTAAACCAGAGCTATAGTCAGGTGTGGTGGATCGTGCCTTTAATTCCAGTTCCTGGGAGACTGAGGCATAAGCCAGAGACTTCCCTAGGCTACTGTGTAAGTTCTAGGCCAGCCTGGGCTACAGAGCGACACCGTCTCAGAAAACAGATGAGCGGATGGATGGATGGATGGATGGATGGATGGACTAGCGGAGGGGAGGGGTTAATAACTAACCCGTGTCAGTGCAGGATGGAGTCTGCTGCCCACTTTTAAACAGTTTTCACTGGGGGGACTTGGGGAGGTGTTTAATTATTCACAAGTGACTGTGGGGCTGCACCAGCGTAGCTCATTGATTCTGTGACCTCTCAGTGAAACTGTGAGGACACACAGGGTGACAAGGAAACTAACTCCCAGACAAGTGGCTGGGCACCCATCACTGCAGTTCCCTGCCTAGGCACCCTGGCTCCTCACCCCCTCCTGCCCGATAGCCCTGAGGCCAGGTCCTCACCGCCTCCTGCAGACACACTTTCCTGAGCTCCTGCAGCTTCAGACTCAGGGCCTCTTGGAGGGCCCGCTGTCGGTCAAGCAGCCCTCGAAGACGCTCTGACTTCACCTGGGGGGCAGCTTCTCCAAACAGGGCAGCTGCATAGGGAGAGCAAAGGTCAGGACAGCTAGGACATCCCGGGACAGCTGTGGGGCCAGGGTCCAGCCCTTCCCAAGCAGGCACACAGAGACTCGGGGGGGCAGCAGGAAGTGGACACAAGCACTCACCTGGGGCATTGAAGGTAGGAGAGCTGATCAGCTGACCTTTGACTTCCATCCTTGTATCGTGTGGAGGCTGTGGCTGATGGCTGGACAAGGCCTGGCAGTGACGCAGCACAGGGGGCATTAAGGAAGCGTAGCCTGTGACACCCCAGCCCCTAGCCCAGTCCCATTTCCCATGCTCCAACTAGGAATGAAAAGTGCCCCGAGCCCCACCCGCCTACCTGGCCTGCTGGATCAGATTCTGTGTCAATGTCTGGACCCACTTGGCCTGGTACCTTGGTTCCCTTCCCATTGAGTGCTAACACAGTAAGTGAGAAGCTGGGCAGACTTACAACGCCTCCTCAGAGGCCCATAGGCTACAGCCAGGAGTCTCACCTAGGGAGAGAATTAATGGTACAGATTCAATTGACTATAACAACAGCGAGCACTTATTCAGCCTTGAGTGGCTGGAACAGTTACCTGCTACGTCACAATGAATCTTTGAAACCCTTCAGGCAGGAGGTCTGTCATTAATTACCTTTCCTTTTGAGATGAGGGGTGGAAACACACAGAGGTGAAATAATTGTCCAGTAAAGGGCATAGCGCAGGAAACCCCTCTGGTGCTATGCAGTCCCTCAAGACAGCAGCTCCAACCCCACCAATTACCTCCTGGGCACCTCAGTCCATCTAGCAGGCTTTAGGGCCTGTGCCCAGGCTGTGGCCACAGCCTAGGGTGGTTTCAGTCCCTCACCACATGAACTTTGTTTCTCTCACTTATCATTTGGGGGCTGTTTTTGTTTTGGCACGCGGTCTCCCTCTGTAGCCTAGGCAGCCTAAAAGTAACTGTGTTCAAGCTGGTCTTGAACTCAATAGCAATCCACCTGCCTTAGCTTCCCACATGCTGGGATTACAGGCAGGCACTACAATGCCCAGCTCATTCCAGGGCTTAAACGCCCCTTTCGGAGGTGGTCCCTGAGTGATGTCCTCTCACAGCAGCTGCTAAACAAGAGCCTGACCCTTCCTGTACTGCCATTTGGACAGGAAGCCATGTCTGCCCCAGTGTATCAGTAGCTCCGGCACCCGAAACACTGCTGCTCACGGCAAGTAGTCCATGAATGTATGCCAGCTGCCTGAAGCAGTGACTAAACGCAAGACAGCTGAGGCAGGCGGGTATCAAGGTAGAGCTCGCTCTACACTTGTCCTAATTCCAGCTACTGCTCTGAGGCAGCAAGGAGTTGCCCGTCGACCTCAGGGTGCCTCCCACCCTGCTCTGAGACTAGCACAGAAGTCACCCTGCTGGGATGGCTGACATCCGCAGCCATAGGTAACACATTATCTGCCTCGTTTTCTGTCCCCAGAAGCCCTGGATGACCATGGAGCCTGCTTTGGCTAGCTGCCAGCTCTCCTTCTGCTTCTCTGGAATTTGCTCCCTCCCTGCCTCCCTCCCACATCCTGCTCAGTCCCCAGCTGGGCAACCAGGTGACATCACCTCCCACCACCTGTCCTAGCCTCCAACGCAGGTGACTGGGAAGGCCTAAGAGCCAGCAAAGTTCCCATTTTAGCCTACCTGGAAAGTCACAGCTCGCCATGATGGGTTGGAGGAGACCCAGACAAGCAAGGACGCCTGGCTATAAGCTCCTTCCCCATTTTCACACTGTGGGGCATGATCAAACCGCCTGTAAGGCACCCCCAGTTTCTCGGTTGTCTTCCTGACTGTCCACAGGGCTTTTGTATCGATCCCTCAAAGGACTCATGTACTATCCTTAACGTCAATGGTAAGACAGTCCCAAAGGCCTTTCTTACAAATCCAGACAGAATGCGCTTGTACTGGGTCTCCGAAGCCCACCACCCACTTGAGTTCAGCACGTCAGCATGATTGACAGTTTCTCTGATGTCCCATCTCAGCTTCCTCTGGCCCTGAACTCGCGGAGCTCCTACTTTCCTGGGACCCATTTTAGTTTGGAAAACTTTCCCAAGGCCCACTTGAACCGTCCTCCACCCCAACAGAAAGCCAACTCCCCCGGCCTCTGGGTCCATTCACCCCATTCACCACCGTCAGTCTCGTGCACTCCACATCAGGGTAAGCCAATCCTCCCTTCTTCAGAAAAGCACAGCATCCTGGAAGTCAACACAGGGTCCAGACAGGAACCCCGACTCCACCCTGTCAGCCTGACCTCAGGGACATAGCTGGGGCATGAGTCACTGGGTCACTGGGCAGGCTAGACACGGGTCAACGCCCCACACCTCCATACCTGACTCAGGAACCTTTGCTGCTCTCTGCTGTGCTCTGCACGCTTGCCTTGGGACTGAGGGCTGCCTCACACCAAGATGAGATAGTAAGAGAGCAATCCACCACAACCTGCATCGCTAACACACCCTCACGCAAACCTCTGAGACCCTTCTGTCAGCCCCAGGGCTTTGTCCTGCCATACTGCAGTCCTGTGGCTGGGACAGACTGCAGCAGCAGAGCCACAGAGGGCACATGCAGACAGACACACACACACACACACACACACACACACGCACACACGCACACACGCACGCACGCACATACAGAGGCAGGCCCAGCAGGTTTTTCAGGTCTGCCCTTCTGACACCATAGCTGAGAAAAATTCCTGGCTGTAATGACTGTTTACAACCAAGATACTTCACCTGGGTGGCACTCCAACACTGTCAGAGAGCCCCCATTTCCACATTCTGCCACGGCTTGTGCAAACACATACGCAAAGTCTGGACTGCTCCCCAGTGCTCCCCCCAAACATGCAACACAACCCCCTCCAGCACTCTGGGTGAACAAACAGAGAGAGGAACAGGTGCCTGAACAACGGTGCTCTCTAAATAGTTCGGTTGGTCTTTTCTGAGGCCCAGCCCTGGTAAAGAGGCCACTCTGAAAAGGGGAGCGGAAGTGAGGGATGGGGCAGAGAAGAGGGAGCTTGAGTCTCCTTGCCCCATCCCACTACCTCCATTTCCAACCAAAAGCTGCTCTGTAGCAGGAAAGGGAAATGGCCACATGGGGATTTGCGCCGCTCCCCGTCCTCCTGCATTGAACGCTACCCCTCCCATCGCTACCCTATACTGTCGGTGTACTTCTTCCACAGATCAGGGTCTCTGGAAGATAACTTCAGAACATTGTACCCCAGCCCTCAATTCCTGTGCCTTCGCTGTCTCACGGCCCTGGCCCATTGCTCTGAGGTACTTACCAGAGTCAGACAGCCTCGAATAGCTCAAAAAGAATAGGCGTCTCATCCAGGCCCTAGTTTTCCTGGCAGTAGAAGTGAACAGCAGTGACTGCTGTCTTGGCTGCCTCCCTCTAGGTAAAGGCCCAGCCTACCTGGACAGGAACTGGGCTGGCCCATACCTTTTAACCCTTACCTGCCTGCTTCCAGGGCTAGAGTCACTCCTGAGGAGGCAGTCTCAGAGGCCACGGGGCCTCACTCGGGATTCCCAACAGGGCCAAGAAGAAAGCATAGAACTCTCTCCTCACCTCAGACACCTAGGAGAGAACTGGGGAAGAAGCACTAAGAGCTGGGGGAGGAGCCACGGCCTCTCCGGCCTCTCCTGCTGCTGAGATCCCCTGGGCCACTGGAGCCTGTGGATACAAAGTAGCACCTCAGGTAATGGGGGCTAGGAAGCTGTGAAACACACACACACACACACACACACACACACACACACCCCTATAAGAGGTAGTGCCTGGGGGCAGGGGTCTAGGAAGTTGTGAGGTACACACACACACACACACACACACACACACACACACACACACACACACACACACCCCTGAGCAGGGTGCATCACCTTATCCAGGGTCTCAGCCTTCCCTCCCAGAACAAGGCAGGAATAAGAGAAGATCTTGGGGGCAATTTCTCCCATAATTAGAATAATGGTTTTCTAAGTTGCAGAGAGAAGTTAACAGTTTCTCTGTATTGTTTTCGAGGTTGTCCTGGAACTCCCTTTGTAGACCAGGCTGGCCTTGAACTCACAGAAATCCCCCAGCCTCTGCCTCCTGAATGAGTGCTGGGATTAGAGGAAGGCATTTGCCACCATCTCCAGGCAGAGGCTAACCTTTCTAAGGAGAGATCAGATCTCAAGACAGTATCTTCCGTAATCCAGGTAGAAATGATCCTAGTCAACAGACCATAATTTATGCCCTAAAAACCTGAGAACTGGGAAAAAGCAGCCTCCTCTGAGCCATGTTAGGGATGGAAAGCTGGACCTTGGCAAGGTGAAGAGGCCTGACTGAGAACATGATGATACAGAACATAAGAAGTAGCCGGGCATTGGTGGCGCAAGCCTTTAATCCCAGCACTCGGGAGGCAGAGGCAGGCGGATCTCTGTGAGTTCGAGGCCAGCCTGGTCTACAGAGCGAGTTCCAGGACAACCTCGAAAACAATACAGAGAAACCCTGCCTGGAAAAACAAAGGGGGGGGCAATGCTAGAGCTGGAACCTGGGCTAGAGGTAGCCACTGGCTACTCCCAAAGGCGGAAGGAATAGAAAGAAGACTGACTTCTTTATCCTGGCATATTCTTCCCCTTAACATTTCTGGCCTGGAGCAAAGCTTTATGGCAGTCAAGGAAGCTGAGTACTCTGAGTCCCTGTGATGTCCCTCAACACAACCCTACCTGGTCTCTAAACCTGTCCTGGGCACATAGGAAACATCCTCTACTCTGGGGTTAAGAGGGTGCTTTGTGAGCTCAGAACCCAAACTTAACACTAGATCCCTTACAGAAGCCCCTGCCATGTATGAGCAGGGAGGGCTGGTAGGCTGTTCCCTCCCATTCTGGGGAGGAGAACCTAGAAGAGAGTTCCCTCAGTCACATGCTATTAGGGCTTCCTGCCACTGCCACCCACCTTTCTTCCTGATTGTGACGTTTATGGTGTGACGCACAAAGGACCCTTTCATCTCCCTCCCCGCTTTTCCCTCCTTTTGGTAGAGGCACGAAGCAGGCAGATGGGCAGCTGGTTGAATACTGGGGAGGACTACCCTCTTGACCATGGCTTCCCTCACCCGTCTTTTAGGTCGCCAAGCATGTTGGGGAAAATGGATGTCTATAATCAGGGCCAAGAGAAATGAGAAAATTTGGCTAATGATGAAGATGGAGCCTCAGAGTTCAGGTTACTATACAATGGGCAAAAAGTTATCTCATCCATAAAATGAACAAAATAGACAACAGAGACCAAAGGAACTTTGGAAGGTATTTTATAGTACATGGAATTCACACCAAATCACTAATGACCATTCATAAGAACAGTAAATTTGGAGTTGGAGAGATGGCTCAGTAGTTAATAGAATATACTGTTCTTCCAGAGGACCTGAGTTCGATTCCAAGCATCCATGTCAGGTGGCTCACAACCTCCTATAACTCCAGTTTCGGGGTCTAATACCCCTACCCTCTGAGGGCACCTGTGAATGTGTACTCAAACACACACTAGACACACACACACACACACACACACGAGGTTAAAAATTCAATCTTTTTTTAAAATTTGGTCAGGTGGTGCTGACACACACCTTTAATCCCAGCACTATGGAGGCAGAGGCTGGCAGATCTCCATGAGTTCAAGGTCAGCCTGGTCTACAGAGCAAGTTCCAGGACAGCCAGAACTATTACACAGAGAAACCATGTCTGGAAAAAATGAAGATTTTATTTATCTATTTACTTGATTTTGTTTTGTTCTGTTTTTGAAACAGGGTCTCACTATGTAGCCCTGAGTGTGGAACCCGCTATGTACACCAGGCTGGCCTCAAATTCATAGAAATCCGCCTGTCTCTGCCTCCCCATGTCTGGGAACTAAAGGTGTGTGCCACCATGCCCAGTTCATTATTTTTATTTTTGTGCCTGCAGTGCCTGTGGAAGCCAGAAGAGGGCACCACACCCACCCCACCCAAGACTGGGACAACAAATGGTTGTGAACCATCATATGAGTATTGAGAATTCAATCCGGCTCCTCTGGAAGAGCAGCCAGGGCTTTCAATTGCTGAGCCACCTCTCCAGCCCCAACTTGCTTGTTTGTTTTTAAAGAACAATATATTTGGGGTTTGATTCCTAGCACCCATATCAGGTGGCTCACAACACCTTCCAGTCTAGCTCGAGGGTAACTGACATCCTCTTCTGGCCTCTGTGGTACCAGCACACATGTGACATGCATGGACACAGATACATACACATCCACAGAGGTAGACTAGTTTAGAAGGAAGCTGGCCAAGTAGACAAGTAGGGCTCAGTCACCCACACACATCATTACCTCAGTCATGATTTTTTTTCAGTACTGGCGACTGAACCTAGGAGTTTTTGCATGCTAAGCAAGCGCTCCACCATGGCTATAGTCCTAGCGCCACAATTTTAACAGACCAGAAGATGGTCTAACCTCTAAACACACATGGACCCTGCAGATAGTATATGGTGAGTCGGGGATTTAACTCTACTGTCACTCACTGGCTATGTGACTGCTTAGAAAATTCACTTTTCTGGCAGGGCGTTGGTGGCGCACGCCTTTAATCCCAGCACTCGGGAGGCAGAGGCAGGCGGATCTCTGTGAGTTCGAGACCAGCCTGGACTACCAAGCGAGTTCCAGGACAGCCTCCAAAGCCACAGAGAAACCCTGTCTTGAAAAACCAAAAAAAAGGAAAAAAAAAGAAAATTCACTTTTCTGTGCCTCCATGTTCTCTTCTGTTAAACAGGGAAGCTGAGGTTCTGCAGGGACTCAGAGACCTCCTCAGTGTTAAATTATTGAACACTTGCCCGGCTTGGTGATCTTTAATCTCAGCACTCTGGAGGCAGAGGCAGGCAGATGTCTGTGAGTTTGAGGCCAGCACCTGGTCTACAGAGCGAGTTCCAGGACAGCCAGGGCTTCATAGCAAGACCCTGTCTCAAAAACATTATAAAACAAACACATGCTCACAGACTTATTACAAGCAACTGACTTAACCCATTTACAGTTTGCTAGGACCAAGCAACTGACTGGCTAACAGTACCCAAAGTGCATTGCTGTTATAATTACAAGTGTTCCTCCCCAATGAATCAAACAGATATGTTTGGATGCTTCTTTTGATACAGAGCTGGTATCATTCAGCCTCGCCCAATAAAACTGAAACAGATGTTTGTTCTTTTCTCCAGTAACCTTGTCTGAATTCTCACTATCTAAGATCGAGAAGTGAAAGTACTCGTGGAGCCAAGGAGATGTGGTAGCAAGGAAAAACACTTCCAAAGCAAGCCTGACGATGTGAGTTTGGATTCCCAAAACTCTTGTAAAAGCCAGATACAATGTTTCAGGTCTGTAATCCCAGCATTCGTACAGCAAAATGGGAGGCAAAGACAGAAGAATTCTCCTGAAGCATGTAGGACAATTAGCCTGGAATTCGCAGCACCAGAGCAGACGAAAGACCCTACCTTAAACAAATTATAAGGTGGGGACCGACACCTGAAGTCTTCCTTTGATATCCATACATCATTTCTCACACACAAGAACACACACATACACAAAAATAAAGGATAGCCAGCAGGATATCCCGGTGAGGACTGAGTTCAATTCCTAGGACTCATCATGATTTGAGAAGTGTGCTGACTCCTGAAGGTTGTGCACAACACACACACACACACACACACACACACACACACACACACACACACACACACACGCATCCCTGACTTTCACATAAAAACAAATGTAAAAAAAAGATATAAAATTTTTCTACAAAGAACACATTCAGAGGCACTTGAGATAGAGCTGGCATCTCAGCCTCTAGTTTCTCCCTTCTTGCCAAAAAGCAGCCATATTTGAAACAGGGTTTGTTGCTACTCCCCACTTTTTTAACTCATTATTAAAAATGCAAGAACTAAAAAAAAGCCGAACGTTTGTGGCGCACGCCTTTAATCCCAGCACTCGGGAGGCAGAGACAGGTGGATCTCTGTGAGTTCGAGGCCAGCCTGGTCTACAGAGCAGCCTCCAAAACAATACAGAGAAACCCTGTCTCAAAAAACAAACAAACAAACAAAAAAGAACTAAAAAAATGCAAGAACGGAGATAGATGTGTTGCATGCCCCTACTCCCAGCACCAGGATGAGACAGGAGGATCAGGCATTCCAAGCCAGGCTGGGTTATATAGTGAAACTCTGTCTCGAAAGAAAAGAAAGGAAGGAAGGAAAGAAGGAAGGAAGGAAGGAAGGAGGGAGGGAGGGAGGGAAGGAAGGAGTAAATGCAGGAACCAAATATATTTCAGATATGTTGTTAACAACTGTATCTAATCCAAAGAATCAGTGCCTGCCAGTGAAGAAACACAGGGCCTTGGGTATCTACTTCTGAACAATACCCCTAGCCCCTGAACATATT